AAAGCCACTTGCAGGGTCTCCTCTGTCTCCCCACCAAGAGGCTGTTAACACACTTCAAGGGGAGGAACAGGACTGCCCTTTTCCTTCCTAATCACTGCTGCAGGGCTTTCTGCAGGCCAGCGGCTTAACCAGACTAAACCCTCCAGCCCCAAAGGGGCTTTGTCCTGCAGCAAAGACGACCAGGTCTAACATAGTGACAGGAAATCTTCAGGCTGCTAATTATCAGGTTTGAAAGCAAAACACTGCAATTCCTAAACCTCTCCAGCCCCTGCCCAGCTTTCTGGAGGGCACCGCTAGCTGTGCAGGCTCTGCCTTCCCAGGGACATGGGCATCCTTGGGACCCCTGCCTTGGGGCGGGCTTTTGGGAGTTCTGGTGCTCTCTAACACCTGCAGGGCAGTCTCTGCTCTGGGCTTGCAGGTTGTGGCTCCCTGTGCAGGTCCCCTCAAACGAGGTCAAGCCAGCCTGTGCTTTGTCCCCAGGAGGTGACACTTCCAAGGCCCCCATTACCCGCACTGCCCTAGCAATGGGGAGCTGCCTTAATTGCCTCCTTACGCCTCTCCATCCTGCTGGGACCCTCCTCCACTCCCTCCCGCAGCCAGGAAGGCTCATTAAGACTAGTGCGGTGCTTGCACGAGGAACGCGCCGTGCTTCCAAGAGCATCTGGCACAGCAACGGCCCCCGCGCGGCTGCTAGTGCTGCGGCAGAAGGCCTTACTAGAGGTAGCAGCTGTTACTAGAGGTAGCAGCTATGGAATCACGTGTGGGGCACTGCCCTTCTCAGCAGACCAAAGGATCTGCCTGTCCCAAAGCAGGTTGCTCTCTCCGGAGCAGAAAGCTGGGATGCTTTTTGCTTCCATCCATTCCTGCACACCAATACCCCTGTCTCTGCCTTCCCTCAGCTGAACACAACATGGTGGGGCTCTGATCCCTGTGAAATGGGGCTTCAGCATCTCCATGGGGCCTCCTGAGTGCTCCTCCTGCCTCCAGAGAGCCGCAATCATCCTACTCACCCCGGGGCAGCTGCAAGGGAGACCTCATTGTCCCATGTCCTCACCCAGGGCTCTCTGATTCTATCCAAGGTGGTGCGGAGCAGTGCCCAGCACCTGGACTATGACTGACAGGCAGGACAGTAATCTTTACCCCTCTGCATTATCGCAGAGATGAGATGGGGTACAGCAAGGCCTGTGCCCACAGGGATGATGGGGATGTCCCAAAACCTTTCCAGAAGAAGCCAAGAAGAGTTTGGGTGCCCTCTGCCTGATGAAGAGTCAGCCTTATGTGTGGTCTCCTCCTGTCGTCAGCGATGGGGATGGCTAAGAGAAAGTGTGAGACAGTATATGTGTTACATATACACATATTTTGCATTTGGTGGTTACATTTCTGTTTCTTAGCTGAGGAGTACAACACAGTCTAATGTCAGGCAGCAAGCAGCTCGTCTCTCTTTCAAAGCATTTCATTGTGACTGCTGAAGGCAAAGGGCTGAAGGAGTTTCCATTTGTGGTAAGTGGTGAATAAGAAAGGACCAGCCAGA